TGTCTGCATGCCAGACAGTGCTGCCCACCAGGCCCTTTTCAAAGAGGCATGAGTTGTGTATGTTTCTCCAGTGTGGGAAGTCTGATCATCCCTTCACATTGGGAAACAAACAACTAATCCCAAAGCCTCCCAGTTTCCTGAAGATCTTGATTTGTTTAAGGATACTCTGAGATGAGCAGAACCTTGTGGCCACTCCTCCTGCACCATGCCCCAGGTCCTGAGGGCATGTGCCACTTCTGTCCTCAGTGCAACACCACTCCTGGGAGCTGTGCTTCTCTGCTCCTGGAACTATCTAGCATCTTCTCTTCCTCCCATCTCCAAGCCATAGGTACAATGTCTTATGCAGATGTGGTATATTGGCTCTTGGGGTGTGGAAAACACATCCACAATTAACCATGTTCACATAGGTATTCCTGGTGGGCAGCTGCTTTGTGCAATGATCCTGTCACTGCACTCTGATGGCAGACTGTTCTGAACCATCTTTCTCAGCAGCCTTCTGGGTGCCCTGGGAGTAGAAACAGTCTTCTTTCTCCTTTTCTGTTGAACAAGTAGGGAGTCAGTGCCTCCTGAAGTCATCTTACCTTACCCTTGGTCCTGGGACCCATGCCCCTCCCCCACACTCTGCAACTTGCAAGGAATGCAGAAAAGATCTCAGGTGCAACCAAGCCTCTGATCAGAACCTTGTTTTCATGTGGAAGGATGAGAAGAGCAACTCTGGGGTCCCCCTGGCTGTAAGCTTTATGACTCTGTGACAAGGTGTCCTGGAGCACAAGCCAACAGAGACTGAGGTCTTTACTCTCTTGCAGGGGTCTCTCACCTCAATTCATCCTTCCTCATCATAAGCCTGGAACCAGGTAAACATCATGATTCACAATTGGATTCATAGTGTGCAGTTGAGAAACCTGAGACTTGGCCCCAAAAAGCTAATTTCCTCTGCCAAACTCTTGGGGCTCATGGACAGAGCTGGCTACATCAGGATGGCCTGACTTTAACCACCTATCTCTCAGCAGCAGTGCCTCAGGGCTCCAGGGCAGCTTTTGCAAAGCAACTGATGTTTGATCTTTGCACTATGGGAAGATGATGAGCTTGCCAGGAAGTTAGTGTGTAAAAGGTGCTCCAAGGGACAAAGGAGCCAGGGCCATGGCCCAGAGGTGGGAGAAAGCTGGGCAAATCCAGAGAGTGACTTGAGGTTTAGATGTTTTGAAAAAAAACTCTTGGCTCTCACCTATGGTATGACTGAAGGAAACTCTTACAAAATGAATGCTAACTTGGCATTAGTTCGTTTCTGTTGAGCATGGAGATAGTAATCAAGTTACCTAAATTATCAGCGAGTTTAGATGAACCCTAATGATATTTTAATGTGTTTTCTGGGGCTCTATATACTGGAGTGAAATATGTCACAGCAGGAGAGATTGCTCACTGTGCTGCAGAAAGAGCTTTCTTTGGATTGAATGTGCTCTTTATAATTCAGCTTAGTGTGTAAGCTGAGTCAGCTTCACCCAGGTCATTGAAAGGAAACCCAGAGTAACAGATACCTGGAATCTCTCTTTGGAAGGATGGACCATCACAAAGGAACCATATAGCTGTAGAAATCAATCCTGCAGCCATTCTTGGTTACCCTCAGAGAGTCCCCACAGCAATGGGTGGGACATCACAGTCATTCGGAGAAGCCAGACATCATTTAATCTTACAGCCCTGGCAGAGTCCTCAAAATTAAAATCTCAGAGAGGCATCCACTGGATTAAACAGGTTTAGATTCCTAGGCTCCTGTTCCAGTGGTGAATCACCTGGATGAAGATTTGAAAAAGAAGAAGAAAATCAATACCTTTTTCTCTCTAACTTGGATTTTGCTCTTCTTGAAGTATCTGAATCAGCAAGGAAGAATGGAACAGTGTGGGGAATTCTGACAAAGGAACAGAAGCTTCCAGGAAAGGGGGCTGAAAAGAAGGCCACATACGGGGCCCTGCGTGAGGGTAACTCAGGGGCTCATGACCTGGGTGGTTTCAAGATGGCGTCAGCAGTTACAAAAGTTACACAGCGGCGTGGGGTTCTTTTACAAAGAAAAGAAGGCTTTTCAGAAAGCCCTTCAGAAGGCTTTCCCTGTCTCATTGGCTATAATCATGTTGTCTGCTCTTTCTTCAGCCGTATGCCAGCAAACTACCTGGCTTATTAACGTTAGTTAAGGTTTGCCTCCTGGAAGTTAAGAGGGCATCTTCACTGAGTACACATCCAGGATGGGCAGAGGGTGAACCCCTGAAAATAAAAATCCAAGCTCTACTGTTATAGGTAGCTGAGTTAGATAAAATATAGGCAGACAGATAGGGCTGGGCCCTTGAAGGAGCCAGTGCAGAAGACCAGATACTTTGCAATCTTGGAGGAGACAGACACCTCCCACTGTGGGCCGGACCTCAAGACAGATCAGACACTCCCATCCTAAGGATAAACATCAGGGATTGATATTCTAAATAGATCTCTATCACCCTGAGGAAGCCATCCTGACCCCCTATAGAAAGAGACACTGCTCTTTACCCATGCCTGCTTGCTACCTGACTCACTTCCCCATTTGTCCCCAATTAAATCAGTTTTACCTGAGCAATTAATCTTAATTGGTTGGCCACAGTTCTGTCCCACCTCATGCCCACCTTGTGAGTTCCCATATTTTCCCCATCTTAGACCTGCCTCACTCTGGTTTTGCTCTATAAAAGTCCCTAGAAAAGACAGAGTCCTTGGCAACCCACTTGGGACCCCTTCTTGTCTGTCTCTGTCAGAAGCTTTCTTTTTCTCAATAAATATATTCTGCTCTTAATCTCCGTTGTTCCTAAAATTCATTCTTTGAATTCAGAGAACATGAACTCGTACCAGACATCTAGTGGGTTGGGAGTTTCTTTCCCTTAATTCATCATCAGCAAGAAAAGAGGGTTTGGGCTAGGTGACCAATAAGACCTATTATTAATGATTGCAAACAAATGATAATGGAACATTTCTTGATATTCCGAAAGCAAGGAGTGTAACCGTTAGCTCTCGGGACATGAGTGCTGCATTACAACCAACCACAAACACTGCAGAAGCCTAGAGAAGTAGCCAGTGATTCAGCTGGTTGGCCTGTCCTCAGCTGTAGGCTGTCTAAGGGAGAGGGCTGTGGTTGGGGGGAGGTGGCTCCGCAGCAAATGACTCCTGTCTTCCTCCTGTGAGAGATCGACCAGTCTGGGTGTGTTCACATAGAGATGGGAGAGAAACAGGGCCTGAGCAAAGTGTGAGCTTGCTTCAAGTTCCCTGGCCATCCTCAGCATCCCTGGCATGCTCCACCCATTCAGTGGGAATCACTGCAGAGCCCATGAATGAGGACGGGGACACAGGCAGGGGGGACAAGTTGGGGTCAGTGACTCAGTCTTCCATAAAGAGAAACAAGTTATTGAATCAAAAGATAAACTAGGTCACTTTAACAATACTTCATTTTAAACAACAGTTTAAATGTTTAAAATCTTTCTGTAGTGTATAACAGACATTGGGTATGTTCAGGAATATAGAGACATTTAAAATGTGTGTATAGTCTTCAGAGGGCCTCAAAAGCAGATTTTTCTAGTTTGGAAGCCACCACTAACTAACAAAGAGGAAGACAAAGATGTGTGTGGCTAGAGGCTCTTGGTGTGGGAACCCTGGAGGTGGGCTAGCTGGAAATGGGGCCTTTTAGCCGAAAACTGGGTGCAGAGAGCCTGACCTCCCAAGCCAATTGTTGCTGTGGTTTGGCCTCCTGGCAGGTTGCTACAGAGACTGTGCATCACAGATCTGCTATCCCCTCTGGTCTGACCAGGTCCACTTGTCTGTTTCTCAAAAAGCATCACTTCTACACTCTGACCCCCGCCTGATACAGGGTCCCATGCCCACCACCCAACTGGTAGCCAGCTGCCCCCCACAGCTACCACAAACCTGCACACTCCCAGAGGCCTTTCTCATGTTCTGCATCTCCTGACTCCAGCCTCAGCCTGAACACCTTCCCATCCTTCACATCCGTCCCCCAAGCATGGGAATCAGAGCCCTCTCCATGGCACCTTTGCCCCAGGCCCTTTTTCCTCACCATCTCCTGTTCTGCCCATGCAGAATTAAGAGTTCTTTTCTCTGTGAGTCCTGAAAGCATGAGTATAGACATTTACTGAGGAGATGGCATTATGCTAATAGCATTTGTTACCTGTCTCCCCTTCCCTGCATGGATATCTCAAAGGAAAGCGTTATTCTTTATTTGTGTCTATTTTAGAATTTTGCAGATAGTAACCTCACAACAAAGAATTTTTGTTTTGTTTCTTGTCATGGTTGTGGTGTTGAGATAGGGTATCGTTATGCAGTTCAGCCTGGCCTTGAACTCACTCTAGCCCAGGCTGGCCTTGATCTCACAGCAATCCTCCCACATCAGCCTCCAGCTGCTGGAATTATAGGAATGCACCACATTGCCAGCAACAAAAATTTTTGGAAAGAAGGAAGGAAAGAGGGGAGTGAAAGAGTTTTGGCTCAGGCCAGACACTATAGCTGGAAAAGCCTAAGCCAGAACCAAGGAGGTCCTATCTCCCCCACCCCTAGGAATTTACCTATGGTGCCAAACAAAGACCAATGGGCTACCTGTGCATCCCTAATGCCCCCTTAGGTTCCACCCCAAACCGAGACTACTTATATGCCTTCACTCCATGTGTTCCCGGGAGAGATCGCAGACCTGGAGGGGGGAGATGATGCTGTACCCCAGGGGATCGGGGGTGTCTCTCCCCGCATTCTCAAAATAAAGGTCATTTATATTTCATACTTCTTATCTTTTCAGCTGCTGCTGGTCCCCCAGAGTTCTATCAGGGAGAAAGGAAAGAAGGAAGGTAAAGAGAGGGGGGAGAAAGAAAGTTGTGGATAGGAGTGACAGATGAAATTCATGACATCTAGTAAACGTCAATTTCAGATGAACAATGAATTTTTTTTAAAGAATAAGTTTGTTCTAAATATTGCATCATAGGTTTAAAAATATTTTGTGGAATATTCTTATACTAACATCTATCCAAAACAAATTCAGCTGGGCCTCTTACATTTTAGTTTGCTAACTACAGCAACTGTTAGTCACGGGGTGAATGAACACCTCTAGCTAAACTTGGAAATAGTCTGGCTCTGAGGCCTGAAGGAAATCTACCTGGCTTGCTCTACTGCGGGGTTGGAAGGCTCTACTGCCTGGAGTTAGACATGACAAAAGTGCACGCATGTTGGCCCCTTCCCTGAGACAAAACCAGGCCAGTCATGGCCTGGAGGGTAACAGGAAGAGTCCTGGGGGAGAGATGCTGTCTCCACTGTGGGATGGTGGTGGAAGGCAGGGAGAAGGCCCTGCACTGGTCCTCGCAGCATGATCTTCGGAAGTCATAAGCATTCCTTTTGCCAGGGAAAGCACGGTTGCTGTGGAATTTGGTGAGAAACGTCCTCTGCCTCAAGGAAACCTGGAAGAAAGCGAGGTGTGCAGTGAAGCTGGGCCACAGGGAGACTGGAGTGGTCCCTCTTGTGCTGATTCTTCTTGTGGACCATACTTCGTGAGTGGAAATTAGAGAAGACATGTGCAATGGGTGCAGTGGTGACCCCCAAACCTTTGAGGGTAACATTTTGGAAAATGAAGACTTCATCGACATGACTGAGGGTTCTGAGGTGAGGTCAACCTGAAGTCTAGTGAAAAAGGACCCACTGAAGAAAGGGGAGCACAAAGCCAGAGCAGAGCACCACCAGCCTAGGAGTGCTGAAGAGCCAGCTAGAGGCTGAAGAGTCACGGAGGGACTTACCAAATAGTCAGTGCTCAGATTGCCCTGAGCACTGACTATTATGGTCTACATGCACTTGGTAAGTAGATTTACAAATACGTGATCTAGGTTTAACTAAGCTAATCCTTATGAAATGGAAAACAGCTTTAACACATTATTATAGAGAAACTGAGGATTAAAGGCAATGCTAACAGGATACATTTCAGAAACCAAAAAGAAGTTAGTATAGCTTAGATGCTCAGTACGAGCTCTACATCAGTACATGATGAGGCAAAAATGAATCCAGCCAGGGTTGGGAGGCTGAGGCAGGAAGACAAATTTAAAGCCTTGCCTGGGCAAGTTGGTGAGTCCCTGTCTCAAAATAAAAGAATAAAAATGGCTGGGAGTGTAGCTCAGTGGTGGATTTATGAGCATTATTTATGAGGTCCTGAGTTCAGTCCCCAGCACTGGAGGAAAAGGGAGAGGCAGAGATCAATCCAACAAGACAGCTCCCTTGCCCCTGAATAAAAATTACCCAGGAGGACCTTGAAAGATGAATTTGTATTCACTTCTGTGAACAGTATACCTTGACATGTTAGTTATTAGTAGCAAAAAAATCCAAGATACTTAAAATATCACTTTGAAACTTTAACTGTTTATATATAAATGTCTATTTAAAATTTCGTCATGTAGGTAATACATACATAAATGTGCATATATGGGAGACAAAGAATTTTTAAAAATCGGTGCTTTCTAGGGACTGAATTGGGTCCTCCCCATTCACATGTTGAAACTTTAATTCCTAATGTGATTATATGTGGAATTGGGGCTTTCAGGATGTGATGAAGGTTAAATGAGGTCCTAAAGGTGGCGTTCTAGCCCAGTGGGATATGTAGGCTTACAAGAGGAGGCAGACAGGTCTCTCCATGAGCGTGCACAGAGGAGCCGCCATGTGAAGACATAGAGAGATGGCCTATAAGCCAGGGGGAGACCCTCTCTCTGCACCCAAGCATGCTGGTATCTTGATCTTGGCCTTCCAGCCCGCAGAACTGTAAGAAAACAAATTTTTAATACTGAATCTGTGTTACTGTGTTAGGGCAGCCTGAGAGGACTAACACAGGGACATGTGACCAGAAATATTTGGGTACCACCTAGGTATGTTCCCATGTGAATGGCAGAGACAGCTAAGGTCCCTAAGGCTCCCATTTGATATCGCTTCCTAGGCTACACGCCCTTGGGGAATAGCCTTCAGAGAACACTGGCCTTGGCCTTGTCACTTGCTTCGGCCAGTAGGAAAAAAGCTAATGTGTCATCACAGGTGGAGGCTCGGAAAGTGCTCATGAGGTGGAGCTTGGCTTCTAGCACCAGATGCACAAGACCACCATAGCCTCCTGGGGGTTAGGAGACCATGGCAGGGATAGCTGCAGACATCCCCACTAAGGCCCAGGATCTGGGCACGAGACCATCCTAGACTACCTGCTCTGACCAGCCTGACCCAGACCACAAGAACTACCTGCTCATCTGTAGTCATCAAAGAGTGGATGTACCACTTGAAGCTACTAAGTTTTGAGGTAATTTGTTCCAAGGCAGAAGCTAAGTAATATGTAGAATCAGTACAACATAAAATCTTTTGCCATGTTGCAATGCCCTGCAGCCTAAACAATATCTCATGATCACCCGATGAGATGACTTTCAATAGGCTTTGCAGGATGTCATTTATTTTATAGTCTTTTGTCCCAAATAGAAGTAAGCACTATGATTATCATGCCCAATTTATGGTGGGGCAACCAAGGCTTGTGAACGTTAAATGCTTTGCCCAAGATGAGTCCACTGGAAACAGCTGAGTGGGGATGGGTCTCTCTCAAGCCACAGCCACACTTTCTCATAGTGATACAGGAAAAACACAACTTGCGACCTCTTAGATGTCAAACATGTCAGGTTTGTGGTCTCACAACATTCAGGAGTGAAGTCACAAAGGAAAGAGAAAATGAGGAGAGTTTTATTGGAGCCAAGGGGAAGAAGAATAAATTTCTTCTGAATTTGCAGGAGGGGTCCTCAGTGGGTCACCGTGGAGGCTCTTTGCCAGGGGTAATTTGTACAGCAAAGTCACAACGTGGTTAGACTGCAACCAACCTATAGGATTACAAGTATAGTCGCTTAGCTGATATTGATCCAAAAGGGAAACGGGTCCCGCAGCAAGGGTGCCCGGAAAGATCAAAGGAATTCTTGGAAAGGGAGGGAAGTATGGACTGAGGAGTTCTGGTCACCCACCTGTGTGTCTGATGCCCAGCCCAGTCTGCTGGACCAGGTAACGCTAATTGTACTATAGTCTTAAATTTCTGTTTATCTCCAGGGAGACGCAATAGCTTTTCCATTCTAAGAGCTGGCTGTCTTCAGATTTACCTCTAGCCACGATTCTGAGGTCTTTATGTTTTGTGCTAACTTCCTGGAGGGCCCAGCCCCTCTCTGACTATATATTAATTTCTGTCTAACCTAGCTATTATAATAGCAGCCACTAGGGATGGTCTGAGGCCACCAGGTTTCATCTGCCTGTCATTTTCTGGGGATGGGTCTAGACCAAGAATGCTCAGTGTGTCTCTGTTGGGCAAGTCGTCCTTCATCATCCGCCAACTGCAGGCGCACAGCAGTGACTAGGAGCTCGTTCCTCGGCCCTGGGAACCAAGTTTTCCATGATGGTAGCAGCTGTGGCCTGGTAGCCCCTGGCGGATAGGGATGGGGCCCCTGATGGAGACCGTGAGGAGTAAACCACAGGCAGCCAGGAACTAGCCGCTTCTGACGCTGGGGCCTGGGTGGGAGCCAGGGTGCCGCTCCAGCTCAGGCTCAGTGAGAACTAATCGCATTCTCTGGGACCCAGGTGGTGCCTATTATGCAAAGGAACAAAGCCAGCTCAGCAGGGGCTGTGTGCCAGCAGGGCTTCTGGGGCCATTGGCAGTCAGTGGAGGCCTTCTGTCTGTCCATCCTGCCTTCCACCCATTCTCAGAGGGACAGAAGCAGCGTGGATTGGATTGGCCGGGTAGGGCTGGGGCACAAGCTGCTTGCTGGGCCATGGGGCTCTGTGGACAGCAAGATCCTGTTTGAGGCAGCAGCCAACCACCTCAGAGGTGGTGCTGGTGAGTGTATCCATAGCTTATTCTTTTTGTCCTTGAAGGGGCTAACTTCCCATTTCTAGTTCTTTTTGGCAGTTCTGTATTTTAGCATGCTGTTTGCTATGATTGTTGTGTTTGTGTTTTAATTTTCCTTCTTTTGTTCTTTTTTCTTTGCAGTATTGGGAATTGCGTTCAGGGTTTTTGCATTGAGCTCTATCCCCATCTTTAAAAATGAAAAAAAAAAAAAAAATCCAGGGTAGAATTTCATTAGGTTGCTAAGTTGCCCAGGGTAGGCTTGAACTTATGATTCTCCTGCCTCAGCCTCCCAGAGGGCTTTATTTATCATCTCTCTCCCTTCTTGGATTTCAGGCCCCAAGAAGGTCAAAGTCTTACTTGTTTTCTCCATTGTATCTTCAGCATAATGTCATGCAGATAGTAGATGTACAATAAAAATTTCTTAGGTGCCAGGACACTATAGCCACTGGGAGCCTGAGACAGGAGGATTCTGAGTTCTAATCTAGCCTACGTAATATAGTAAGAGCTCATCTCAAAAAAATTTTTTTAAGGTGAATCCTTGAAGACATATGTTATTATTATTATTATGAAACACAACAGGAAGCCAAAATTCAGAAATGTTGGGTGATTTGCTCAAGGTAACACAGCAATAGACACCAAATTCCAACCTGGGTTTAGAAACCCACTTGATTTCTCCCAAGCACGAAGCAGGTACCACCTGTGGTAGGAGAGAGAATGTAAGTGTGCAAGCCTATTTAAAGAATGTTGAAATACAATGCAGACTTCCTTCCCATGTGTCTTCAGTCCTGGTTATGTCAAGAAAATAATTTTTCTAAGAAAAACCAGGCTTGGGCTCAGAGCCAGACAATCAGAATGAGGTTTGACTACGAGAGGCAGAAAGCTTGAAAAGCTGAGCTGCTTTTCTTTTGGGGAAATGAATTCGAGGCAGGCAGCCTATGATTGGAAAGGTACTTTTATGATTTTCAGGACCCCAGACTCCCACATTTTATTGCTCTGGGAACCTTATTACACAGAGTCTACCTGATACCCCAAAATAGTTGCTGTAGCTCCAGCCATCAGGATTATCTTCTCACCACTAGGAAGAAGGGAAGTTTCTGCATCCTTCTTGAAGAACTTTTTTCCTGGAAGCCATATACCATCATTCAGTTTATATTCCTTCAGCTACCTGAAAAAGAGAAGGAGACAAAAAGCAATAATTTTGCTCCCATCACCATTATAAGGGATTAGCTTTCACAAGGCTCATAGGCTCATTGCACTTGGCAGAGCCTCCAAGTTAGCAGTTTTGATCAGATAATAAAGATTTGCTTGGTTGCTTGGACAGGTTATAAATTAGGACATCTTATGCCTTGTGTCCCATCTGATGAGGGCAGGAGTACTTTGGAAGAGTGATTTCTTTTCCTCCCTGAGGTGTGTGTGGGGAGGGGCCTCTTCACTCATCATGCCACCAAGTTCAGTGAAGGAGAAAGGCTGCTCCTGTGGGGTTTGGGAGTCTCCACCATGGGGTGCCTGGAACTTCATTCTGATCAGATAGTGCCCTGGATATGCCCATCCTAGGATGGACCTCACCGAACATGGGCAGAAAGGGCTGGAGAGAAACACCAAGGGAGAGGGCACGCTAGGGCAGACCACTGTCCACCCATCCGTGGCCCTGAACACCCCACGTGTGTGGCCATCAAAGGCTTCTAGGGCACACAGTGAAAGGTCCTCCAGACCAAGTGGCTGCAGTGTCACTGCTGTGGGAGCTCAGGCAAGTGTGAGTGAAGCCTGGTGGCTCATACCAGGAACAGGCAAGCAGTTGCCCCTGGACACTAGTAACTCATGCCCACACCCCTAGAGGTACTGGCATTGGGAAGGGTCAGCCAGGCGAAAGGCACCCAGCATCCCAGAAAGGACTGCAGAGGGCGGCCTCACCAGGAGACCCCTGGCCTTTCCCAGGCCTGCAGCCCCAGAGAGCTGGGGAAGTGAAAGATAGCCCCAGAGCAGAACAAGCTGCTGCTCCCAGGTCACCCAGGAGGAAGCAGACTGCGTGACACCGTGCAAGTCCCTGGAGCTCCCAGCTTGCTGGGCAGGGAAAGTGTCCCTTTGAAATTGGCTACAGCTGGGGTTCTGAGCCAGGCTGGGCCATTTCAGTAAGGAGGAGCCCACACATCTGAGGTCTGCCCCAGGCCTGTTAGGCAGCAGACAAGGGCTTTGTCAGAAACGCTTTCCCCTGTTGCATATGCTGGCCCCCAGGTGCCTAGGTGTCTGGCCTCATCTCGGGCAGGAGAGGTGACTGATGCAGAAAGAACACACTTGGGAGGAGCAAAGAGTGCTGGAGCCATGTGCTGGAGAAGAATTTTGGGGACTGCTTCGGAGGATTATTTTAGGATGAGATGGGTATCTTCTCCCTACTTCCCCTGCCATCTCAGTGGGAACTTTCTGAAGGTGTCAAAGTTTCCGATTAGAATCTCAGATTCCAAGGCTCAACCCTGGGGCTCTGATCCAGGGCCATGGAGGACTCAGTTCCCCAGGAGTCAGGAAACTTTGCTGAAATACCTATTCTGACTTGGAGCTCTGAAAGTCTGCTGACAGACTACCTTAATGATTTCTGTACCACTAAGCACCCACTAAAGGGAGGAGCGAGTTTGCACTCCCTGAGCTTCCCTGCTGACCTTTCACCTTTTAAGATAGATGTATAGTCATTGCAAGAATGCTAAGGTGGGTACCATTATTCCACCCATTTGATAGAGGACGCAAATGATGTTCAGAGATATTAAATAATTTGCTTGAGGTCACAGGGTGTCATGTCATGGGCCCCTGAAACTGTAGCCCTGCCCTCTGCTCTGAGGAGATGAGAGACATGCATTGAAAAGGTGAATCAGTCATGCAGGACAGTAAATTCCAGATGACAAATGACAGAGGACCATGCCCAACTTAAGATTTCAGAGGTGAGAAAGGTCGCTGGGGTCTGACTACTTTTAGGGCCAGACCAACTGCAGTGGGGACGTGAGCCCAGCAACAGGGAATCTTACAGAAGATGATAGTCTGGTGCAGGGTATGGAACAGTTGCCCAGAAAGAACCAGAGACCATAGATGGTGAGGAGCTGGACGGGGAGGTGTGGTGGAGACAGTACTTGCCGTGGCTCCCTTGTGGCAGGACACAAAGATCCTGCCCCCTGGGGAAGAAAGAGGGAACCAGAATTTGCCTGCAAACAAATATGAAGTATACAGCAAACTGGCAGTTTCACATTCAGACTATCTAAAGACAGCAGTTCTGCAAAACTAAAATAGTAAAATTTCTCTACCTCTATTTTTGTGGCGCCCTATCCCCACCCCTCTGCTAGTTTACAGGCAGCTTGGCTATGTACTGTTGTGTTCCTCTAAGCTCATGAGATCTTGGTAAACTTAGAATAAACCTATCCTGTGCATCAGTTAGTTTGAGTATTTCTGCTTCCTGAAACTAACAGCTTGTTTAATAATGGATACAGTTTCTGATATGGGTAAATTGAGATCTGTGAGTAGGTACTACATGTTGAACTCTACCAGGAACCTGAGAATTAAGGAGAGGAAACTGGAGAGATGTATTAGTCAATGCCAGCTTCAGTAACAGGTAAAGCCTGAAACCTGGCTTGACACCAAACATACAGTGTACTTGTTGCTTATACCATGGCACATGGCTGTTTCTGGTCAGGCAGCCTTCATGTAGGACCTGGATCTCTTTATCTTGTGGCTCTGCCCTTCTGTGTATCCTTGGAGTCCTCTGAAATCAATGCAATGATTGTAAAGAAACAGTCCTATGCAACAGGACAAAGATCTCTGATACCTGCTGTCGATGAGAATGGGAGGTCACCAAAATACAAGGGAATTGATGCTGCAGGACACAGTATGGCTTTTCATCAAAAAATTAAGCAGTAACACTAACTGATCCAGGATTTCCACTCCAAAGAATTGAAAACAAGTATTCAAACAAATAGTTGGATACAAATGTTTGTAGCAGGATTATTTACAGTAGCCCAAAGGTGGAAACATCCCACCAGTCCATCGATGGAGGAATTAATAAACAGACTGTGGTATATCCATACAGTGGAATAATATTCATCTACAAAAAGGAATGAAGAGCTAATTCCTGCTGCAGCATGGATGAAGCTGGAAGGTATTGTGCTAAGTGAAAAAATCCAGACACAATGGCCATGTATATAATGATTCCCTTCTGTAAGAAATCCATAGAGACAGAAAACAGACTGGAAGTTGCAGGAGCTGGAGGGAGGGAGAAATAGGGAGAATTAATAAGTATAGAGCTCTCTGATGCAATGTAGTATTTTAGAACTTAATGTAGGAGGCAGCTGAAAAACATTGAATGTATTAAGTAGTACTGAATGTTACACTTTAAAGTGATTCATTTTGTGTTATGAGAATTTCACCTCAATTTTTTTTTTAATGCAAGGGGGCTCTGGGGGATATAGCTCAGTGGCACAGTGCTTGCCTGGCAGGCATTAGGCCCTGAGTTTGGTTCTCAGTATGGAAAAAAAAAAGCCAAGGGGGCTGGGAAATGTAGTTGGTGGTTGGGCAGCTGCTGCTTGCTTTCTAATGATGGGGTCATCACACACTTGAAGGGGGTGATGTATCTTTGGTGACCAGATCACCACACATTAGAATTGGGTCATGTATCTTTGGTAACCAGATCAGTAACTGTGCATCTATCTGCCCCTCTCCCTGCCCCCACAGCACATGTTTACCTCTCTGTCAGATCATTGCATTCAGCTGCAAGATAAGGATGACCAGTCTACTCTCGAGTTTGGAAGTCACTTCTTTTGCATCAGTGACATAAGTTCACTGGCCCTTTAATACACACAGGTGAAAAAGAAACAGCATAATTCTACCATGGACTCTACTCAGACAGGGAAGAATGGCAGACAGATGGCTACTGGTCATAGCTGGAATCCTGCTGGGCAGGCACTGAGGTGGTGTGACCATAGGTGGGAAGTCCCTCCATTAGACTCCCAAGTGTCTAGGAGAAGCGTGGAATCCATTGGTCTTTATGGTCCTGGCTCCATCATTTGAGAGATTCTTCCTCCCTCAGTGTTTGCTGGCCATATCTAAATGGGGATTAGGGTATTTGCTCTTCTTAAAGGGTACATAGCTTACATACATTTGTGCAATCTTGGAGAACCAAGGTTTGACTGATACTTGAACAGTCAGAAATCTTCCCTAGTTTGTACTCATTATTTGGCAATGAAATATTCTCAAAAATGTAGTGGGCTTCTTACTAGACACACTCATTTGATTATGTGATATTCAAGAATAGGGCAAAATGAATCTAGATGACACTTTCTATACTGTAATACCAAGCGCTTTCTCCAAAAGAATTTCTGTCTTAATTATGTTTCTTATTGCTGGGACAAAATACTCAACACACCCGCAAGTTAAAGGAGGAAAGGTTTATTTCAGCTCACAGTTTGTAGAGGATTCAGTCCATAGTCAAGTGCCTCCAAGGTAGGGCAGCATGGCAGAGGGACCTGGCAGAGGAGACACAGTCGACAGCAAGGCAGGCAGAGAGCGGCAGCAACAAGCAACAAAGAAGCAAGCCCCTTTCCCTTTTATCCCATCGAGACTACAAGCCTTTTTGAGTAGTGCCACCCACACCCAGGATGGGCCTTCTCATTATCCAGAACTACGATAAACCAATTGGTAGATTAATTTAATACCATGCAATCTCAATCCCACTATCACATACCCTAGATCCTGCCAGCTCCAAAAAAACCTCATCTATGAGCACATGAGTCTTTGGGGGAACATCTAGGTACAAACCGTAACTGTCCCTTTGATCTAGAATCTGACAGGAATACAGAGAAAACCTCAGAGGGACTACGTGACTCATCTAACGTCACACAGCAGAGGCAGAACTAGAACCTAGGTCTCCAAATTTGCAGCCTAGAGAGCTGTTTAATAATGGAAACCACTGAGGAACCAACAGACACAGAACTTCACAAATGCAGCATTTCCTTTTGGTGCTTTAATTAGCATATATGACATACACTGCCAATCTAATTTAATTATAATTAGGTAACCAGAAGGCTGATTATGTTGTAAATTTAGATTAAAGAGCTGTTGTTTTCAATTAAGCTTGATTGTAAAGTGCTTTGACACTTTTCCTGGCCTCCAGCAAAATTTATTATAACTTCGCAT